CGCCCTCTGCTCATCTTTTCGTTTTGTTTTTTATTTTTTATTTGCCAATGTTATTTCTATTACTTGTTCCACTATTTTTTTTTTAATAGTGGCTGATAAATAATAGATATGATCCCCTTTTAAAAAAAATTTTCTCGGATTTTACTAAGAAAATTGGGAAAAAATAAAATAAGTATCATTTCGCCGAGAAGGTAATGGAGTGCTAAATGGAACAAAAATACATTAAAGACGACTCTTCTGCAATACTTGGGGAAAACAAGCGACAGTCCATTTATATTTTTATAACACTGGTTCTGGCTTCCTGTCAAAAGTAGACCTCTCAGGATAAAAAATATTTTTAAATCCCACAAACACTTCTATCTTAATCCGGAGAACAATGTGACCCTTGTGGAAAGATGGTACTTTTATGACAACAAAAGAAATTCTTTGTAAAAAAGAATAATATGCAAACTGCTACATACAAATTTTAACAACTATGAGTAATGAGGTATTCGGAATCCTATAGGAAAAGTTCTTACAATGAATCATATTTAATGGAAAGTGAATAATGCTGTAGATGAGGAGTTAGCTTCCCTGTAACAATTTATCATACATAGCTTTCTACAGACTGAGTTTCCATTGAAGAAAGCATTAACTGTTTCCCCTAAGCTGATACATTTGCTGCAGGGTTTGTGGCAGATTCAACACAATCTCCGCATATGCTAAAGCAAGAAGTAGCGACAGAAATTATTAAAACAGGAAAACTTAGAGGGGAACTGAGATCGCAAATTAAGTATCTAGTGTAAATGTGAAAGCAAGCTCAGTGCAAGGAGAGCTTTAAGTGAATAATATCATAATTTCAACTTCAAAGCCTTCCTCAATTTTTGCATCAAAAAAGAAATTTGATATAAATTGGAGCTGTAAAAAGAGAAGGAAATACCTTCTGGTAAGCTCAAAGTTTTTAAGGCATTTTCCGCATAAGATAGACGAGTTGGATTTGGCTGAGAACCTCTTGATCCATTTTCTTTCCTGCTCAAAATTGTTGGGCTCATATTCTTCTTAGATTGATGCATAGACCACACTAGGACTCTTACTCGAGTAGGGAGTACAGAAACAAGATCTCCATATCTAAGAGTGACAATTAACTTGCTGCAAGAACAAGAGAAAAAGGAGGCAAGCAATAACAAGTAATCAATACAGAGCAGTAACATCAGTTTAAAAATAAAAAATAAAAAATCTGATGATTAATAACTTGAACCTTAACTCTCCCCCCAAAGGGAAGGGTAATTTAATCACTATCAGATGCTTGGGTTGTTGGGAAGACATATTTTTAACAACTGTATTCTACATTCAATCTACCCTAATATAAAAGAAATAATGAACCAATTCTCATCTGACTTTTTATGTGTATAGGATTAACAATTAGAATGGATAGGACAATTGCTTGTCCTATACCATGTTTGACATAGACAAGGTTAAAACTAACAAGATGATTTTTCAGTTTAATTATTGGCCAAAATATGGCAAGATAACTATTCCTAGACCTTTCCATGAGATGGCCTAACCCTGTCATTGGAAGATTAAAAACACTATTTTGGTCATCAAACTAGAAAATTCAATACAGAAGACTGCCCAAAATAAATGCAAGAACATGTACCAACCAATCAGAATCATCCACTACAAACTCAACCATGTGGTAGGGAAGACTATGATAGAGCTCTCCAATTTGGTTTCCATAAAGCTCCTTAATAAGTCGAACCTGCATTAGGGGAAACAAAAATGCAATGCAGATAAATTAAACATGCATGAGAGTGAGAGAACAAGTTGTTCAAGACAATGACACATCACACCAGATCAAAAATATGCCTATCAACAACATTACCTGTTCCCTTCGGTCCACATAAGCCTGCAACAGTTCTCCAACATAATCTATAAATCTCTGAAAGCAATTAGTTGGGACACAATATTAAGAACATGCTTTTTTTAATAAGAGTTCGAAAAAAGAGACAGACAACTGAACTACCAATTACCATAGCATTGGAAGAAAGAAGATCATTTTCTGCTGCTCGTATTGGAAGAAAGAAAGGAATTGTATGTTCAAGGACAGTCATCTTTTCAAGAAATGACTTGCTTTCAAGTACACAATGGTACAGCTCACAAGGTTCCCCTGCAAACTTGGAGAAACACAGTTGAGAAAATAAACCAAAATAATTCATTCATACAAACCTATACAAACCTAACATAGATGAGAAATTCAATTCATTTATTTCCAAAAATTACAAGCATCCAGAAAAGTGACTGAAGCAATGACCTTATCTTTCTTTCTTAAAAGTTATACCTCCAAACCAATGTAAAACATGATGGTGTAGTAAAAAACTATCAATGACTAAGTTTTTTCTTCTGCCCTAGAAGTAAGCCTTCTAACTAAGCAATTAACAGGAACATTATTTCTTGCTTCCATTGCTTCAAAGGAGACCTTAATTATCAGGAGCATGAAATTAAATGGCAATGAGCACAGAGAGATACATTACTGCTAAAAGGATACATGATAAGGTCAAGCCAATATCTCCAAGGAAAAACAATAGCAAAACCTAATGGCAGATACTGATAATTGGATGATGATATATTTCTTTACACATGGTCACATACCTGCAAAAGATGTCTCATATTGTATGCCAATTCTCGGCCCTTCCAGACAACAAATCACCTGTTTAACTTAGACAGATGAGCTCTTATCCAAGAAATGACTTCAGAAGACAGCAATAGTGAAGACTATGAATTTACACAAACACATGATGAAAGCTGAATGTATCATAATAGTTGCCGATAGTAGGTACAAAACAGACCAAACCAACAAGGAAAATTATCACAAGCCATAGACTCCGTTTTATTATAATAATCATTTCAATGGAATTTGCTTGTAGTAAGTACAGTTTCTTTCAGAACAAAAATGCTACCTAGCCACCTTCTGTCTTTCCACAAAGCCATGATCAAGACTCAACCTTTATGTACAAACTATGAAGAACTTTCCTTGTGATCTTTTCAATCATCTCTTAGAAACTGTTAGAGCTTCAATGATTTACCACCTTCTTCCATATTAAACTTTATATCGTAATAAACAGTTCTCCAACATCGCATACTATCCATACATGTTTTAGGTATGATGAATAATAGAATATGTTTGAAATGTATCTTATTACCTTATTTCCAACTCTATAAGTGATCCTTTCTTCAACATGAGATTCTGGAAAGTTGTTTATGTTCCCAGACATTGCCTTTCTATCAGCCTCAATGTGAACCTGATAAAATTCCAGACTTATAATGCATGATTAGACTGAAAATGAAATAAAAAAATTGTGCAGAAAGGAGGAACACTTAGACAGCTTCCAAGAAAAGTAGCACAAGCAATGAGGAATGGTGTGAGCCACCAGTTTAATTTAAGAAATATTTTAACAAGAATATCATCCACCTCAATAACCTAATTGACTCAGATACCAAATTAGAACTATGGTAAAGACCAATAACATCTGAAGCATTCAGCAAAGTCATACCCGCTCTCTTATCGTAGCTAATAGTCCATCATTCCACTGTTCACCATCTAAAGTAACCTCTGATGATGAAAAAGATAAAAAAAAAAAAAAAAAAAGGCACGAACAATCTTTAATCTGACAAGCTTTTACAAGTG